AAGAATTCATGAAGTAAATAATTTGCAAATAATTGCAATAAGCACTGACTTCTGAACTGAAAAGAAGGAAAGCGTTTCTTGTGCAGTGCATCTGAGGTTCATATAATAGTCTTGTACTATACTGTGCTTTATTTACTGCACCGTAAGGAAACTAAAATCCCTGTTCCACGTTTTCATTTAGTGCAGGAAATCCAGTTTCTCCCCTCTTCCCCAGTGTTTTATTGTCTGTTGTACTGCTGAAACTACAGTAGTTGAATATTGCAGTAGCATTTCAGTTATTTTTTTTATTGAAAGTGCTCAAAAATTGTTTTTTAAATGTTTTCAAAAACAATAAAAACATTTTATATTAAAATGACTTTGGAGTTTTTTCTTTACATGGAAAGCATGCATTAAGGTTGCCCTAAAATACATGGCTTTGTAGTTTGTGTTGAAGACGGATCATAGCTGCCCAGTTGTACCCACTTGAACTGCAGTTGCTGAGCCCAGTTGTACACTTCAAGCTGTGCACGAAGGTGAACCTTCCTAGCTGGGGTGCTGTGGTCAATCTGGGCTCTCAGAGTAATCTCTTAAGAGTTGGTGCTAATGGGTTTCTGACCAATTACTTCACATTCCTTTTCTGTAGGTAGCCCTTTTAAGTGGTAAGTGCTTCTGTGGTGATACCGTTACACTTGAGGGATAAAAAGCTGCAGCTTACAGCTGAACCTGAACTGACAGCTCAAATTTGCCATCAAACATTAAAATAGCATTTTGGCACAGGCTGTGCTTCAGAACGTGGTGGTGAAATTTGTGCAGGTCAGAACTGCCATCACGTGCAGCTCCTCTGTGCTGCGGACAGCCTGGTGGCTGCTGGTCAGAGCGTTCATTTCATGTCTGGGTGATGGCTCCTGCTGCTGTGGTACAGCCATACACAGTGGTGATGCATGGCTGGGTTTGCTTTTCAATTCTTGTAGAGCCCTCTTACAAGATAGTATTACAGTGCAGCTTGACTTGCTGCCATAAAGGGGAGCATACACTGTCCTGGTCTATGGAGTCCTTTATTTGGGTTGTAAAATCGTACATAAACCAAGCAGTGTTCCCAGCTATGTGACCACAATGGAAACGGAAATTGGCTGTGAGAAAATAAGGGTGAGGATAAATATTCAGGTTTTCATGCCAGAAAGATAGCACTGGTTGTTAACAGACTCCATCCTAAACTCCAGAGTGCCAAGATGGGCTGGCAGGTGGCAAGATTTGATGGTGGCACAAAATCACTTAGGTTTGTCAAGAAAGAAAAAGAATCATCAGGGAGACTTAAAGGAGTCAACGTGAATGAAAGAGCATCCGAAAGATCATTTTTAACATGAGGTTGGAGGGGATGCAATTAATGTATCTTGTTGGATCCTAAATTAACATGCTCTAAAAGGAGTTCTAACAATTCATGAACGTGCTTTCTCCATGTTCCGCGGTCATAAAAAACCACTGAAATTGCTAAGGAATGAGATGCAATGTAATGCAGGAGATATAAAAGGCTATTTTAGAAATTGGTAGTTCATGTGAGGTAATGATGTATTTTAATCAGAACATCTCGGCTGCAGACCAGAAAGATTTGCTTTTAATAAAAAGGGTCTTAAGAGCAAGCAAATCTGTAGCTGTGAATGGAAATGGCCCAACAGCAAAAACTTAGGAAGGTGGAAATGTTAGAACTAAACACAAAATCACAATTACTTTGAAATATTGAAGTCAGGAGCTTTCAAAGTGAGCAGATATTTATATGTCTAATAAAGACCTCCAGAGTAAAATCTGAACAACTGCTTAGAAGTACTTTTTCATCTCCAGAAATACAAATCCGTGTGTGTGAATGCAGCCGGTATTCTGGTAAATAGAACTCCTCCTCTAGGGTCTTAAGGACTGGTTCATGCAGTCTTTACAGTGTCTGTGGCACTTGATGCCACCGTCTTCTCCAGACAAAGATGCCCTGCATTATTAGGTGGTCATAGAATAAATTGCTGCTGTGAATGCTGCTCTCCTAGACCCAGGAGGCAGGAGGAGCTCAATCTGAACTCAGTGCTCAGCTCAGAGCACTACCCTGGGGTGGGGTATTGCCCAGTTGACCTCTGGAGCCTCCTGAGAACCTCACTTTGTCGGCATGTGTATTAAGGCAGGAGGGTCGAGTAAACCCAGCTGGATCTGACTGTGCAGCATGGCTGCTCTCACTCTGGTAAAGTTAAAGCATAATATTTGATGATCATCACATTCATTAGCAAACTTTAATTATCTAGGCTGCCTCTGTTGTGTAAGTCAGAGATAACCAGCCTTGCTGCCTTCCACCCCCTCTTACAAATGGCAAGTGTAAAGAGTGGATAAGGGAAAAAGCACTAGAAAAATACACTCTGGAAGACAACTCCAAACCTAAGAAATGAGCAGTGACCTTACTGTACACTTCAGGTGTTCCTGAGAAATGCATGTAAGGGAGTGCAATAAAACCTAGAAACTTAGCATTCCTAATAGTTACCTGTATTCACCCAGACCAGAAGAGCATTACACATTGAGGAGTTAGTGATCCACGTAACAGTTAACTATTAACCTAAATATGCCCAGGCCTGTGCATATGTGCTGCCTGCAGGGTAAACTTGGCCAGGTGACCACAGGAGAGGAGCCTGCAGGCAGCTCCCACCAGTGCTGGTGATTACACCATCTGTGTGTCCTCACCTTTGAAAGTCAGCGAGATGTTCTCATGTGAACATCCCTTCTGCCCGACAGAGGAAATGGTAAACAGAGTTGTTTGCTTGTAAGAAAATCCTAGAGTAGCTCAAGTGATCAAAATGGGGTGACCCTTCCACAGGCAAGATCTGCATGTGGATCAGAGGCCTGTTCAGTGCTGCATAGCTCAGGGATCTGAAGGCATTTAAGGCTAATTTATACTGCCCTCTCTGTGCTTACAGTGCTTGCTCTAGCACAAATGGCATTTTAAGCAATACTTCACAGAATCTAAGTGCCTTTGTTACTGTTATCATAAGAAACCAGCACCTCCTAGAGCATAATTAACATTACCTAATGAAATTGCACATGTTCTAGTCTTTTGCTTTTCCTGCTCAACTTGTTAAAAATACAAAATGGGCTAAAATATAAACTAAGCAATTAAGACAAAAGTGAAATGAGGACATGGAGATACTCATATCATAAAAAAAACATACAGTGCTAAAACGACAGCAGTTTCATTCTGCAGATTGCAGTGTTTAAATATCCAAAATGAAAGACCACCTTGATATAATGTAGAATATATAAACAAGTGATTATATTTCCTGATGGGTCACAGTGTTTCTGCTATCTGATTTGAATCCGTAGGAGATGCCCTACTAGTGATGTAAATACTCAGATGTGTTGCCTTGGAACATTTGCATGTCTATTCTCCTATGGCTTTGTCGTGCCTCCTCCTGAGTCTGTTCTTCCTGGGCCTGCCTACCCGTTTTCTATATCTGGTAATGCCTCAGCTCTGAAATCATCAAAAAGGTCCATTTTTATCCCTGTGTCTCATCTTTCTTCTGTTGTCAGCTTCCTTTTACATAAACTGCTTTTATGTGGATCATAAATTGTGTATCATTGGAGCTTTGCCTGTTCAATACTTCCTAATTAGATGATGCCCGTTAGAATAAAATTGTGAGTGGATCTCAAGCTGCTGTTTCAAATATTGTGAGCCTTCGTGTATCTTAAAGGCAGGAAAAAAGATGTGTAGGAAACTGAAAATAGATTTCCATGTGTTCAGGAGCCGATAGCCTTGTATCCAGTTACTAGCTTGTTGTTAGTGGGTTTTTGTGAAGACTAAATTGAACAAGGTCTTACCTGGCAGCTGCTGGAGCTGAATCCATTTGTAGCCTCAGGTTTTCTGAGTGCTCCGTAGAGGAGGGTGGTTAATAGGAATCAAGAGAAGTGGTCCCTGCAGCCTTCCTTGGGTAGCTGACCTATCCATCAATAAAAAACTGTGCTGCTCAGCTCGCTTATGTTAGAGAGCTATTGGGCTCCCTCTTCTCAAATACCGATCTCTGGTTTTTAGTATGGAGGGCAAAACACAGCTATGTAATTATAAACTAACTGATTAGGACTCATTCATCCCCTCTCTCTGTCAAAAATACCCCTGAGTGTTCAATTTGCCTCCTTCATATCAGTACTTCAAAAGGACACTTGTTCCAAGGACTGTGATAATCATTTCCCAGAGAGATCAAGCCCAATTCCTCCTTGCTCTGAGACAAGAACAGGCATTTTGAAATGCGGTGTTTAAAAGGTGATGTATAAGCAATGATTCTTTCTAACTGGAATAAAATGCTCCTTGATTCTATTTCAAATTGCTGAAAAATCAGAACAATCTCTCCTGCTATGTATGTATAGATGAGAGGGGAGACGAAGCACCTGTGTCCAAAAGGCCCCGCTCTAGGTTCTTGTACCAGTAGCATAACTAAACTCTGCTCTGCCAAGGAGTACTTGTGGAAAGTGGATCTAATGCTGGGACTTAAAATGGCTGTCTCTGCAAGAGCAAAATGTCTTCAGTCATCAAGTGTAAGACTTCAGTGCTTACAAATAAGGAATTGCTGAAGCCCTGTGTAAGCTGAATTATTTTACTGCTTTAGGAATTACCTGAAGTTGCTTTTTTTTTAAATAAATAACATCTATAAAAGGTAGCTATATAATTCAGGTGGATATTTGCGTCTCCTTTTGGCAGAGGTAACAGTCTTCTCACTAATAGGTATGCTTTTACAGCATGCACAAAGCCCTACATCTTTATCAGTCCAGTCATCCTGGTTTTAGAAGTACTTTCTTATGGGATTAGTTTATATGCCAGCCAGACCTGAAGATGTGTGGACACTTCTTGGACAGTGTGATATTATGTCGACTTTGGCCACCTTAGTAATTAATTCCCAGTGACAACACTTTAAAGTTCATTGGAAGCCAATCAGTGGGCCAAGGACAACACGTTAAAAATCTGTACTCAAAACTACTTGAACACTAAAAAGCCCTCAGAAGTAATTAAACAAACTTATAACAGCAATTATTTACTATTCCATTTTCCTAATGCAATAAGGGAGAAACAGTATGAGCAGGAGCATCTTGTGTGAGAATAAGCACAAAGATGGAAGTGCATTGAGTCCTGTTCAGTCATGTGCCGAGTCAGAACAGTAGCTTCCTCTGGGTTTAGTGATGTTTTCATCAGTGACAAACAGCTTACAGCACGTACTACTGCATACACATATGGAGAATGATAATCTCAAGGTATTTAAAGGAGAAAAGCCCAAATACATCATCCCTGGAAGGATCTTGCTTTTGTAATATTGTGATGGGTTGAGCTGTTAGCAGAAGTATCCACAATGACTACTAACCATGGGATCACTGGTGGTGAATTAAGCTGGGAACAGCATGACAGCAGTTGACTGGAGCTCAGCACCTTTGGGTTCCTGTTCTGGCAGCTCTCCTCCACTTCATGCTGAAAATAGGGAGAGAAAGATGACATCTGAGTGGTGGTGATTCAGACAAGTGTTTACCACTTCATTCAAATGCATATGCACAAAATGAGTGTGACATTCCACCTCCACCACAGTTGCTCTTCTTACCATTCAGGTTTGCTCATCAGGCCAGAGAGATTTCAGAAACAACTGCTTGTAAACTGTTACCCTAGTCACAGAAATTAGGAAAAACATTTATTACATCTTCCCCTTCTCACAGCCCCCCCCTGTGAGAGCTGGAGGTTTCAGGAGCTTGCCTGGGGGACAGGAATCTCGGGGGGGGGGGAGCAGAGGTAGCTGCCCCAGCGCTGATGTTAGTGCCTTGGGAGCACAGACTCACGCTTCGAGAGCAGTGTTGCATTTTGTCTGGTGGCTGCCCTGGAAAAGATCTCCTCGAGTGGAGGGCTTCTGTTTCACCTCAGGTCTGCCCCTAGGCGATGGTCACACCTTGCTGTCAACTCGCAGGGCCACGGAAGGCTGCAGGATTTCACCAGGTACCACAGAAAGCAACATGTGTCCAGACAGAAGATACGCTGCTTTTAAGGGAACAGAGAAAAGTTGAGGAAAACAGAACCAGTGACTATGGAGAACTGAGAATGAAAAGGTGCAGTAACGGTCTGGCAAAAACCTGAGCATGAGCTGACGGCAATTTAATTGCAGTGCAACGCAGAGACAACAGTCAGTCTGGGTTTTAGTCTTTAGTTTCACCAGAATAAAGCTCTTGCTTATGAAATCTGAATTTTATCTTTGTATCAGTTTTGCATCTGTTGGTGTTTGAAATCCAGCACTAAGAACCAGGATCTATCATGTATTTGCACGTAACTGTAGAGCCAAATCTTGGTCTCTTAACTATATCTCTGGCATGAGTCTCATCAGTGAGTCATTGCAATGGTAGAGAAATTGAGATTAGTAGACTATCAATAGGTATTTACTTCTCTTAGTCATACCAGTGACTCACTAGCAATATAATTCTTTTCTATTATGTAGCTCTTGTATGTAGCTTTCCATTTACCTGCCACTGTGATGTTGTGAGTGGTTCATCATAACATTTTCTATTGTATGACTCAGTAGAATGAAAGACAATACGCAGAAATCTGTTTGTGCCATTTGCATCCAGATTTTCTATTTAATTTCTGATTCCTTTGGTTTAAATGTATCAAATTTGATTTAAAATCCTCTGTAGCCAAAGTTTATCCTGTATTTAATAAGATAAATCATACTTTGATGTCACTTGATGTCCCAGCTTTTGTAATTTAGCCATTATTATAGTTAACATACATTCTTAAAATAAAGATTATTTTATTATGATAAATAATTCTTTGGAATTCTGAAACAAGTCTCCTTTTCCTACATGACTTCCTCCTTTAAGAACTCTGCTCTATTTTTTTCAAAGCTGTTCAATATTATAGTATATGGATTCTCTTCAGCTTATAAAAGCTTTTGCGGTAAAGAAAGATGCAAACCAAGTATTGTATATAAAATTCCAACCACAAATGGAGTCAATCAGGCTGCACACCATGAGCTAAGAGATGGAAAATATTTTTAAGGTTTGTAATTTTTTGATCTTTCATGGGGCTGAGGGTTAATTTAGGTGACAGGAGAAGTCAAGCTTCTTTATTACCAAATGAGAACTCACTACTGGGATGGAGTAATGAGATAAAACATTAATGTGTTTTTAATGGTCTTTATATACAGTTAAAGTGTTCCAATGCACTCAGATGATCCAGATGCAGGTTATTCTTTGCAACTGAGAATCAATTATTTGCAGAAAGAGGAAGAGCTCTCAGAAGAGCTCTCTTCCACTATTAGTTTGTAATTGCATAAGACCATGAAATATTAAATGCTGGAGATATACATCTTACATAAGAACTGAATGGTTGTTAGCAATAAACTGTGGTTTATTTCCCCCTGTTTTTAAGTAAAAGAATAATTTAAAATCCTTCTGTTTTGAGTGAACTGCTAGGTATCTTCCTGGAATATTGAAGATAACTTGATCCCACTGAAAACACACATAGACCTTATCTTAGCATACAGATGCCTCTGGGTAAGAAACCCAGAAACACAAGCCTTGTTGATAACAGGTCATCTACTTACGGATCTGGGATTTTAGTGTTGTAACTCTTGGCCAGTCAGTGGTCTTCCCACACAAAAAATGAATCAGTGCTCTGTTACACTCAGCTACTTAAAAAATGTGGTAGAAGAAATTAAGTGTGCTCATGCCCTATTTTAAATTTCAAAAGGGCATTATTTCAAAGTTATTGAAATGGCGTGTGCCTCGGAATGTAATCTTTGAGGTTTGATGTCTTTCAAAACAGCCCATTAAGTAATGCTCTAATAAAATATTCACAAACAAGACCTTTGTTAAACAGGACTTCAAGATCCCTCAGCGTGCTTCTTCTCACAGCCTTCTAGTGTACTGAAAAGCTGAGGCTGAGAATGCAGAGAAACAGGTGAGCAGAGTTCAGGCAAGTGACAGTAATGTTGGAGGGGGAGATTTGTAGGGAGAAATAAACCAGTATTTTTCATTAGAGTAACCAGAACAACTTAAAAGAAACCCAAACAAAACCACAACAAGAATAATAAACAAATAACCCCCCAAAACAACAAACAACCCCCCCCCCCAAATAAAAAACCCTAAGCTTTTTGGGTTCTGATGTTTTGCCAGACACGCTTTGTTTGTACACGCTAGCAGAGTGTAAGAGGCAGCACTGCAAACCCAGGCATTCATGCTTAACAGCCAGAAACCCACATGCTTTTTCTAGCAAGCTGCAAGAACAATTTACTAATCAACGTTAGGCTCAATCCCAGAAATAAGTGCTTCACAAAGTACCTGGACCTGCAGATCATGCCTGCTGTAACTTAGGCAGGTTTTCTTTGCTTGACTGTCACCCAGGAACCTTTCCAGTTACACTGGGACAAGCCTCTAAAGTCCTGCTGAGAATGTCGTTAGGCAAGGCTGAAGAGAGCTGGAGAGAAACACTGGGTATCAAGAGGCTTGATCCAGAAAGGGGACAGGGCTGTTTCTTTTGAATTACCCAAAAGCTTATGTGGATGTTTTTTACCAGTTTGTCTAATAAAAGACATTGTCTTCCCATGCTTCTACAATCTCATATTCACCGACAATCATGACTACGAAGACATTTGCCTGGATGCCACTTTGTCTGTTTCTCAGGCACTCGGTCTTTCATAGGTAATACCCTACAGTGATTTTACAACATGCACAGACTGATGTTGCTGTTGAGATTGCCTTTCCCCAGAACATCCTGCTAACCCTGGGAGGAGAGCCCATGTGTGTATGAGAACGGAACGGGCACAGGCCTGCCTGAGCCCCGCTGTGGAGGTGTTACTTGTGACCTGCCTGGGGCAGAGTCCAAACAGCTGAGCCTGTGTCTGTGTTTGCTTTGGAAAGGGCAGAGTTTCTCACTGGATGAGGAGAGCAGTAGGTCACCCAGGTCGTGGGGGGCCAGGTGCCATGAGCTGAAGTATGACAAAAGACAACAGTTCCCTGACCGCACTGGTGCTGCTATGTTTGTTGGTTGCTAGCAACACACCTGATTTGCCACATGCTCGTCCTAAGATGAAGGTACTTTTACAAACTGTGCAGTGCTTGGAGGAGTTTGGCTCAGGCTTGTACTAAGGCTTATGTCTAAGAAGCTCAGCCTAAACCAGTATTTTACTGATTATGTTTTAGCACAGCTCTCCCTGTTGTCCTCTGTGAGGGACTCCTGAGTGATTCCCGGGCAGCTGTTGAAGGTGGTGTGAATTCAAGCCATCTACACCACTGTCATGGAATGAGGGCCAGTTGCTGTACTGCTTGGAAGCTTGAGCTGTGACGGGAGAGCAGACTTTTCTTTGGAGAAAATGGGAAGCCTTTACAAAGCTGTTGGTTTGGTTTCAGACAAGGCTCTAAGAGTTTACCTTTCCCTCTCCTCTGGCATTCTCCCTGCTTGGGTGTTATGTCAGGTCAGCTCCTTGCACAGCAAGGACTTCCTTCCTCATCCCGTACCCTGCAAAGCAGCACTCCTTGTCCTGGCCGGCAAGGTTCTTTCTGCGCGTTGACAATGGTTACCTTTTTCCTCTCAGTTTCCCCGAACGTTGGCAATTCCAGAGGCTTCCCTGGATGCGAGGGGCTCAGGGAAGGGCCACAGCCTGCGCCTGGCCCGACAGTTCAAACCTCAGGGAAGATGTTTATTAAACCGAGCCCGCCCACGCCGTTGCCGAGCTGAGGCGCTGCCCCGCGCCCCAGGGCCGGGCTCCCTCAGGGGTGGCAGAGCTGAGGGCGATTGCCCGCGCCGCGCTTGTCTCCGGGAGGGTCGCGGATCGAGAGCCAATCATAAGACTCCGCCAGCTCGCGGGTGGGCGGTGGCGCGGGCTTCTGAGCCAATCAGACGAGGTGAGGGGGGGAAGCAGCCGGAGAGAGAAGGGGGGCGCGCACCCGCGCTCGCTGTGCCAAGGGGCGGTCGCCGCTGGCGCGCGCGGCGGCCTGTGGGCGGGGCCGTAGGCGGGGCGCGCGGCGGCGGCGGGTAAACACGGCGGCGGGGAGCGCGCGCCGCTCGGTCATGGCGGCTTCTCCGGTTGAGGTGCTCGGGCTACCCGGCGAGGAGGTGAGGCCTGCGGCCGCCGGTCCGCCACGCTGCTCCTCCGCCGAGCGCGGGCGGCGCCTTCCCTGCAGGGCCGGGGCGGGTCTCCCCTCAGGGCGGGGGTTTCCTGCGGGCCAGCCGCTGTCTGGCGTGGCGGCGGGATGGGGGAGCGGGGCTGAGGTTCGGCGTCAAGTGAGGCGTGAGGTGTGAGGTGTAGTGGGGGGCCTCGGCGGGCCCGCCCGGGAGCGGGGCAACTCGGGGCCGGCGCTCGGTGCCCCTTCTTCTTGGCCCCGCCAGCCCCGTCCGGCTGCCGGGGAGTCAGGCGGCTGCCGTGTCCCTAGCAGCGGCATTCCTGTCTGCAGGCTGCTGTTTGAGCTGTGCGAGCCTCCCGCTATGGGCGGAGAAGTTCGGGAACGTTGGGCAACTTCCCCGTGACGGTGCTGGACGGGTGCAGCGGGGCCGCGTCTCCCCCGCTCCCTGCCCCGGTGCTGAAGAGTAAAGTCTTTGTTTCAGGCTGTCTCACAGGCAATATTTGAACCACTGAAGCGGTGCGCGGGTTGAAACTGTACAAAAGATGGTTTGGGGCCTGAGCGATGGTGCTTTCCTGTGCGTTGCCATGAGCGCGAGTGTGAGATCTGGTGTGCGGTTCAGTGGGCTTTGCAGTGAACTCGTGGGTAACTGAAGGTGGTTTCTGCAGCCACTTCTGTCATGAGGTCCTGGCTCCTGAGCACGTGGATCTTTGGAAGGTGGCTGGCACTGAGGTACCTGTTACTGTGCTTAATGGTAGACGGGTGGGGTGAGCTTTGGCATCGTCACTGTGGCTTGTGTATAGGGCAGAATATTGATGGAATAGTTAGCTTCATCGGGAAGATAGGTCACGTTGTTTTTTATTTGCTGGTGCAGGAAGACTAAAAGCTCTACCCATCCAAAAGCTGTTCGGTGACCTGTGTGAAATGTCAGTAATGTCTTTTTGCCAACAGGATATTTCACCAAGGTGGTCTTTGGTCAGCTCTGTGTGTCCCGGCAGTGATGATCTCTGTGTCAATGCACACTTGTTGTCCTTAGCAGGAATTAACTTGATTAAAACTTTGAAATATTATTCCTAGTCTGTGTTAGCACATCTCTTTCTCAACTTCTGCTTCTGGAGAACTAACTATAAAGCTCTCAAGTTGTGGATTTTGTTTTTTATATTTTTTTTTCATCTTAATATTTGAATTGCATGGGAGTTTTAATAGAAAATGATGCCAGCATGCTGCAAGGGTTGCATGGCACTTCTCATTGCAAGATCCTATTTTCAGTTGCTAGTAACTTTTTGAGGCTATCTAGTTGGACTAAAACATTCCGTGCCTCAGGCTTTCTTCTAATGTTATTAAACTTTGGTCAGTTTAGTTGTTTCAGTGTTTTGAAATCTGGTCAGAATTGGATAATTCTGATCTTCCCTCCATCCTTTTGAACATGAACACATTCCTTTGGAACAGCTGGGGGAAGAAAGAGAAAGTTTGAATATGTAGCAAATCATCAGATCCAACTTCTTCCATAATTCAAAAGCTTAGCCAAACTTTTTCAAGTTACAGATGTGAAAAGTTTCTTTATGATGAGCCTCTGATATTCAGTTGGTGCTTATTGGTTCGCATATAAAGGACTCTGTTTTCTTCATTGTTTTCACGTGTTATTCTGCATGCACAAGTGACAAAACGAATGAACTTAGGGTTACAGGAAAACTGCTGCAAGCTGCTTTGCCTAGAGTGCTATAATGGAAACTAGGGTTGTGCCTCTCTAGATTGTATTTTTTTGTTTTTTTCAGAGTTTAAATCTGGAAGATTGCATACACAATTCACCACAAAACCACAGAGTCAGAAACCCAAATCATATTGGAAGTAGCATCAAGGAGTTCTCTATAGAAACCTCCCCCACCTGTTTTGCAAGCTTTTCAGAGTTTGTCTGCACACTGCTGCTTCCCCAGGGCTGCTCTGCAATCCATTCTGCAAGATGGATTTGCTTGGGGTAGGGATTAAAATTGTCTGGTAAAAAGGAAGTGGTGTTGTCTGCAAAACATTTTGATTTGTTGTAGCTATTGCATATAATTGTATGGTTACATAGTAATTGTAAATAACAAAAGAAGGTGAGAAGTTGGTCTGCTTGTTGAGGCAGTTGAATGCAGTGTTAGAATGTGTATTTGTCCTTAATTTATCTGGTTCATATTTTCTTCTGTAAAATGGATGGAGTATCATGCTGTCATCCATAGGACTTTTTATGACTTATTTGGATATTGAAATAATGAGCACTAGAAGAGCCAATGGGGGAAACTAATAATTCTGTATGCAGAGCAGGGTCTATTGGTGCATACTCAGATACGTTTACTTTTGAAAGTAGGTGCAAGTGTTGGTTCTGATCCGCAGGACTGGACTAACACAATTGCTTTTGTTTTTGTCATAGCAGTGGTAACTATGCTGGTGTTCCTAAAGATGCTTGTTGAGGTGGGTTGTCCATTACTACAGGTTTTTTGGCTGTTGGGCTTTGGAATGGCCTTTATTAAAATGATGCTGCTTGTTGATTTCATCTACTTCATAGCCAATTTAATTTAAAGATTTCATTGTGTCAGTGTTCTTACACTCCCAGCCTGACTTAGGGACTTTCTTTTTTCACATAGCTCTCTTTATATTGCCTAAATAGCATTATAAGGTAGCTAGCTTTTTTTGTCTGTCGTGTCTATGATGTTTGATCTGCTTCAAACTAGTAATGGGAGCTTCTCACAGGCAAAAATACACATTTGACTCTTACTTATTGCCATTTCAGGTTTCTCAAGTCACTTAAGAACTGTCCTATGTAGACCAAGTGTTCGTTTTCTGCAGGTCACAGGTTGTCTCATAAGCATGTGGTATTCCATTCTGGAAAGCTTTGGGTGTATTTTTATGTTCCTTTAGGATATATTTCTGGAGTAGGTTGTTTATGGTTATTTTGCTTGCTGCTGGTAAACTGAAAGTCTTGGATACATGGTTTGTCTTCTCTGCTGCTGCACACCTTACCCCACAGCCCTTCTCATATTGCTGTATTTTGGAGATTATGCTGATGACTCCTACTTGGGAGACGGGCATGGCTCATCTTCCTCTGGATTGCTTCTGATGAAAACATTAACCTTTTCTTGGTTGGTGTAGGGTTTGGGGTTTTTTTGTTTGATTGGTTATTATTTATTTAGGAAAAGTCTGTTGGCAGACAGGTAACTCCTTTCTTGGACTCTTGTCTTGAATCTTTTCCTTAATTTGCAAATGAAAAGAGGTGTTAAATACAATGTGTAGTAACAGCCAGCATTTCTTGAAAGATGAGACTTCCTTATTTATGAATACGAAGTTCTCCTGTGGTACAATTAAAGTTTAAGTTCTTTTAGTTAGTAAGACTGTATTGTAACCAGCAGGTGGAAGTTAATGACTTGTAGGCATAATTAAAGATTGATTAATGTAGTTCTATAATAGGAATCTTCCTGAATGAAAAACTTGCTTTGCTTGCTTTGAGAGAATTTTTTCAAAGAAGAATGGTCTGGCTCTGATAGGCACCATAGAGGGGGGAAAGGAGTGCTCGTTGGGTTGTGAAGGAACGGTCAATACAGCAGACTCCTTTCTTATTTCCATCTCCTGGTGGAATGTGAGCATCACCAGTTAGGTGATAGCATATCACCTAACTGGTGATATGTTAGCATAACTGGTGATGCTAACAAAACTCAT